CACGGGATGCAGTTGTGATGACTGAAGTGTTTCTACACATATGGAAGACCTGGATGGAATTCCTGTATCTTAGCTGTAGCCAAGCCCAGCCAAGCCCAGCCCAGCCCAGCCCAGCCCAGCCCAGCCCAGCCTGATTGTTGTAGGTATTTAGAGAGGTACCAGCAGATGGGAGCTCCTTCTGTGTCTATCTCAAATAGTTTTTTTTTCAAATGGGAGATTTTAGGCTATACTAACAGGAAAAAAAAATCAGCAATTATACAGAATATCTGACTTAATTCATTAGATTGCCCTAACAAATGTGTGTGAAACCTGTACTCAGTACTAGATAGTAGCTATTCTTTTTAATAACAAATAGAATACTTAATAATAACTATGCACTAAGCCACAGAAAAGTCTCAACCAATGTCACAGAATTAATATTATTCAAATAAGTTTCTCTGATTATAACTAAAAGAAGCGAGAAAATAATAACAAAAATATATTTTTAAAATAGTAACGGGGCCAGCATTTTGGAATGGCAGGTTAAACCACCTTCTTGATCCCGGCATCCTGTATGGGTACCAGTTTGAGACCTGGCTTCTCCACTGCCAATCTAGATCCCTGCTAATGTCCCTAAGAAAGCAGCAAATGACCCATGTGCTTGGGACCCTGCACCCACGTGGGAGACTTGGAAGAAGCTCTGGGTTCCTGGATTCAGTCTGACACAGCCCAGCTGTTGCAGCCATTTGGAGAGAACCAGTAGATAGAAGATCTCTTTCTTTCTCTGTCTCACCCTCTCTCTCTGTAGTTCTGCTGTTCAAATAAATAAAAAAAAATCTTTAAAAAATATTAACATGGAGGTTTAAAATACATTTCTAAATAAGCCTTAGAGAAAAGAGAAATCATGCTGAAAGCTAAAAAACCTTAACAACTGAACAAAAAAATTTTAAAAAAAGCTAAAAAAAAGCTAAAAAAGCTAAAAACTGAACAATGGAAATTCAACTTAAAATGTCAGGATACAGAAGAAAATCCACAGTCTTAAGTTAATATTTTAGAAAAGAAAGAAGGCTGAAAATTCATTAACTTTGCAACTAACTAAAGAGCATCAGAAGGAATAAAGAAAATAAACTCAAAGATACAACATAATGTTAAAAACAAAAAAAGCAGACAAGAGGAAAAACAAGGAAGACTAATAGATCAAAAGTTAATTCTTCAGGGGCCGGCACTGTGGCATAGTAGGTAAGGCCACCGCCTGCAGTGCTGGCATCCCATATGGGCGCCGGTTCAAGTTCTGGCTGCTCCACTTCTGATCCAGCTCTTTGCTATGGCCTGGGAAAGCAGTAGGAGATGGCCCAAGTCCTAGGAACCCTGCACCCATGTGGGAGGCCTGGAAGAAGCTGCTGGCTCCTGGCTTCAGATGGGCACAGCTTCAGCCGCTGCGGTCATCTGGGGAGTGAATCAGCAGATGGAAGACCTCCCTCCCTCCCTCTCTCTCCCTCTTTCTCTCTCTCTGCCTCTGCCTCTCTGTACCTCTGCCTTTCATAAATAAACAAATCTTTTTTTAAAAAAAGTTAATTCTTCAAAGCGAAGAATTAAATAAAAAAATTACTTTCAAGATAAACAAAGCAAAAGAAACATAAAGCAAATTAAGTATATTGGGAACGAAAAAGAACAACTATAGATGGAGCAAAGATGAATGATGAAAATAATAGAATAAAGGAACAACTTTATGCCAACAATGATAAAACAAGTAGGTGATATCAACATTCCCACAAAAGAGTCAATAGCCAAATCAAGTTGGACAGAAGACACAGAAACTCTGAATGGTTCGTTAAATGTTACAGAATTAGATCAGTATTTTAAATTTTTTCCATATGGAAAACATGGGCATGTAATGGCTTCCCAGGACTATCTGACCTAATTTTGAAGAAATTTGTAATTATCATTTCACATAAATTCTCAGAGGACTGAAAAGCAGAAATATTCATACTATACATGTTATTAATTTACTATAACCACAGCCAGACAGGATAGTGTAGATATATAAAATCCCAGACCAACCTCCCTCATGATCACTGTGATGATCTGAACATGTTCCCCAAGATATCATTTCTTGGAAAGCTGCTCCCCAGTGAGGCCACCTGGAGAGGTGGAGCCTTTTGGAGGACTCTACCCTCATGAATGAGTTCCTCCACTCATGGGTTAGTAGGTTTCGACATAAACGTGAGCTGTCTGGCAGGTTGCTTGTCCGCCAGCTGATGCCTCCAGAATGCTGTGATGCAACAGCAAGGGCCTCACCAGATGCTGGGCTGATGCTCTTAGATGCCCAGCCTCCAGAATCAAGAGCCAAGTGCACCCAGCTTCGTAATAAATTATCTAGTCTCAGATATTCTGTTGTGCATAAACCCTAGAAGAAACAGTACCAGCAACGGCCAAGAAACCAATACCAACCAACCAAAAAACACATGACCAAGTGAATTTTACTCCAAGAATTGAAGGTAGGTTCAACATTCTGAAATTAATGTGATTTATCACATTAAAGAATTCAAATATGAAAAAATTATATACACATTCCCTTATAATATCCCAGTGAATGCAGATACATTTGATAAAATTCAATGACAATGACAGTCATGGTAAAATTCTTAGAAAAACAGAAGTGAAAGAGAATACTTCCTTAACCTTCAGGATTATCCACCAATACCTACAGCACACATTTTATCAACAGTGAAACGTTGAAAGCATTTCCTTAAATATCAGGAAAAATGACCAGAATGTTAACTATCGCTATTTCTATTAAAGTAACAGTACTGAAGCCCTAGCAGATATAATAAAGTCAGAGAAGATCAGACTGGAAAGGTACAAAGAAAACTGCCCTTTTCCAAAGTAATTATTTTCTATATAGGAAACACCAAAATTTAAAAAATACAGATATAGTATTAGAGTTTGAGACTTACATTCTTTCCTTATTAAAACCAGTTTAAGGAGCAAATGCACAAGGACACCAGAAAGCACCACTTGAACTATTTAAGAGGCTTATTCTTAGTGGTACATTCATAAGAAATTTTAATTTTTTTTTTTTGACAGGCAGAGTGGACAGTGAGAGAGAGAGACAGAGAGAAAGGTCTTCCTTTGCCGTTGGTTCACCCTCCAATGGCCGCCACGGCCGGCGCGCTGCGGCCGGCGCACCGTGCTGATCCAATGGCAGGAGCCAGGAGCCAGGTGCTTTTCCTGGTCTCCCATGGGGTGCAGGGCCCAAGCACCTGGGCCATCCTCCACTGCACTCCCTGGCCACAGCAGAGAGCTGGCCTGGAAGAGGGGCAACCGGGACAGAATCCGGCGCCCCAACTGGGAGTAGAACCCGGTGTGCCGGCGCCGCTAGGTGGAGGATTAGCCTAGTGAGCCGCGGTGCCGGCAAGAAATTTTAATTTTTAAATTTTAGTATTTTGCTTTTTCCAGTGTTCCACCCTAGATTATTTTATGTTATTAAAAGATAAGAAAATAATGCTTTGAGATAACAAATAATTAAATAATATAAAAGTTGGTTTTATGTCTACATTCTTGGAACGAACGGAAAATGAAATTTAAGTAGAAATCTGATAGTAACAAGACATGTTAAGCATATCTGAATAAATCAAATGAATAGTTTTCTGAAGAAAATTATGCAAATTGAAAAAAATAAAGCAAAAATTTAATAAATAGAAAGCTATGTCATGTTAATGATTATGAAGTCTCAACATCATAAAGATGTAAACTCTTTCAAAATTAATCTACACATTTGGCATGATTCCAAAGAAAATTCCTGAGATATTTTTGGGGAATTTGATAAGTTGATTCTAAATTCATGTGCGAAAGAAAAAGGACACAAACAGTTAAGCTATGTATAAAGGAAAAAAAATATGTGAAAGAAAGTGCTGTGCCAGAAAGGAAGATTTATGGCGAGGCTTTAATAATTTAGGTAGTGCAGCATTTGTGCTACAATAGACCAAGCTACCAAACAGAACAGAGAGAAAGCTCAGAAACAGACTCCCATTCACAATGCGAGAGAGGACAGACCTGCACTGCAAATCACTGAATCGTGGAGGGCCTACTTTAAAATGGTGGGAAAAGTAGTGATCTCCATGGGGGAAAACGAAAATTCATCCCTACTTTGACACTACGTCCTAAAATGCAGTTTAGATCAATGAATTCTTCGAGAACAGGGGTGGGAAAACACAACTGTGGGCCGTCGCCGCGGCTCACTAGGCTAATCCTCTGCCTTGCTGCGCCGGCACACCGGGTTCTAGTCCCGGTCGGGGCACCGGATTCTGTCCCGGTTGCCCCTCTTCCAGGCCAGCTCTCTGCTGTGGCCAGGGAATGCAGTGGAGGATGGCCCAGGTGCTTGGGCCCTGCACCCCATGGGAGACCAGGAAAAGCACCTGGCTCCTGGCTCCTGCCATTGAATCAGCGCGGTGCGCGGGCCGCAGCGCGCCGGCCGTGGCGGCCATTGGAGGGTGAACCAACGGCAAAGGAAGACCTTTCTCTCTGTCTCTCTCTCTCACTGTCCACTCTGCCTGTAAAAAAACAAAAAAACAAAAACACAACTGTGAATGGCAGTAAGGAAAGTTTTTCAGTAGATATGACCTTTGGCCTGGTCCTTGAAGGACAGAAAGGATTCTTACAGAAGACCAGTGTAGGGACTGAACTTCTTGGCTGAGAGAACAGCAAGACTGACGTGACAGAGACTCCTGAGTGTGATCCTCAAGTCCTTGAGGAGACAAACAACCCCCAGCCTAGAAGAATTGGAAACAGAGAGTTGTCAAGCAGCTGGCTGTACTTGACAGCATTTTTATACCTTCGCATCAGGTTTTTGGTTTTCATCCAAGGGTAGACCAGTTGTATTTGTAGGAAGGAAATATATTAAATATAGTACTTGTAAACTTACATGTTTAAAAAATTGCTTTTATTAATTACAGTTCAAATAAGTACAAAGAACTCAAAAATGTTCTCAAAAATCTCAAGAGGTTCATAATACCACTAACCTTTTCTTTTTGTTCTTGTATGTCTTGGTCCTGGCTTTTGGTGGCTTTGGAGACCTTGTTCTGCACATTAGGAATGACCTACCACCACAAAAGAGGGTGGGGGAAGAAAAGAAACAGTTTAATTGCTATAATCACTCCAGTTCTTATTAACTTTTTTTTTTTTTAATTTGAGAGAGAGAGAGAGACAGACAGACAGACAGTGACAGAGATCTTCCACTCACTCGTTTAATCCACAGATGTCTGCCAAGGCTGAGCTTTGGCCAGGCAAAGCCAAAGCTAGGAACCAGAAATTCAGTCTAGGTCTCCTACATGGGTGGGAGGGACCCATCTACTGGAGCAATCACCCACTGTCTCCCAGCAGGAAGCTGGAATCAGGAATGGAACATATGCACACTGATATGGTATGCAGGCACCTCAAGCAGCATCTTTATCACTATGGCAAATGCCTGTCCCTAATCATTAGACTTCTTAATGTATTTTTTAAGAGTTACATTCTTTAACGTTAAGACTTTATCTAAAAAGTAAAAATATGTGAAGTGCAACTGAAAGCAAAGAATAAAACTTGGGAAATCTGACAAGATATATACTGCTAAAATATCATAAAATCATATGCACAAGTACACAACAGGGAAAATAAATTCACAAATGTGTGTGTAGATACAGAAAGTGAAGACAAGTAAGACTAAAGAAGGAAGGCCACCATACGGACTGTCACCCAAATGCCTCATTTTGCAAGAACATTTAAATTTTGTGCTTTTTTTCAAAGATTTATTTATTTATTTGAAAGTCAGAGTTACACAGAAAGAGAAGAGGCAGAGAGAGAGAGAGAGAGGAGAGGTTCTCCATCCGCTGGTTCACTCCCCAACTGGCCGCAATGGCTAGAGCTGAGCCGATCCCAAGCCAGGAGCCAGGAGCTTCTTCCAGGTCTCCCACGCAGGTGCAGGGCCTAAGGACTTGGGCCATCTTCCACTGCTCTCCCAGGCCATAGCAGAGAGCTGGATCGGAAGTAGAGCAGTTGGTTCTTGAACTGGCGCCCATATGGGATGCTGACGCTTCATGCCAGGGTGTTAACCCACTGCGCCACAGCACTGGCCCCGACATTTAAAGTTTTAAGGTCAACCCAAGGAAATTCCCAGAACATAAAGTATATCACTATCTGATATATTTACCTCATTCATCACTCTACCCCCATTTCAAGCAATTGTATCCAGCACACTCTGCATATTCAGTAATTATCTCCCTATCAGTTAGCATAAGGAATTATGCTAATTACAAATCTACTCCCATCACAGAGTAAGCACAGTGAGAGCAAGAATGCAGAATTATTTATCATCATACCCCTCATGATGAGAGGGCCTGACACATGGTTGTGCTCAAATGTTTATAAGTGAATCAAACAGTTCAATTTCATAAAAATAATTTTAATTCTTAATGGTGCCAATAGCACAGATTTTTTGGACTTATTTATTTTCACAAAACATCTTAGGAAAATATAAACTCTTTAATGATTTTTTTAAAGGCTCCTTGAGGGACTAGCACTGGGGCTCAGCAGCTTAAGCTGCTGCCTGTGATACCAGCTTCCCATAATGGCAGTGGTAGAAATCCTGGCTGCTCCATTTCCTACACAGTTCCCTGCTAGTGTGCCTGGGAAAGCAGCAAAAGATGGCCCAAATAAGGCTGGTGCTGTGGCGCAGCGGGTTAATCCAGTTAATCCTGCGGCACTGGCATTCCATATAGCTGCCAGTTCTAGTCCTGGCTTCTCAGCTTTTGATCCAGCTCTCTGCTGTGGCCTGGGAAAGCAGTGGAAGATGACCCAAGTCCTTGGGTCCCTGCAACCTTGTGGAAGACCAGAAAGCAGCTCCTGGCTCCTGGCTTCAGATCAACGCAGCTCTGCCAGTTGTGGTCATTTGGGGAATGAAGCAGTGGATGGAAGAGCTTTCTGTCTCTCCCTCTCACTACCTGTAACTCTACCTTTCAAATAAATAAATAAATAAATTTTTTAACAAAAGATGGCCCAATTGCTTGGGCCTTTGCACCCATGTGAGAGACACAGACAAAGCTTCTGGCTCCCGGCTTAGGCCTGGCCCAGACTTGGCCAGGGTGACCATTTGGGGAGTGAACCAGTGAATGGAAGAACTTTCTCTGTAACTCTGCCTTTCAAATAGAGAAGTCTTTAAAATAAATAAATAAATAAGGCTACCTGAGAAGCTAACAGATAATCTTGGAATAAAATCTGATAACAGATGGGCAGATTAAAAAAAAATTCCTCTCTCAGAAAAAGGAACTGTTTGTCTAGAGAAAACTTTAAAAATGAAATAAACAACAGGAAGAATCCACTTCCCTCTAAAAGAAATTTCAGATGAAATTTTCTTCACTTTCAGTATAGAATGTAAAGAAATAAATTAAGAATAAATGACAGTTTTAGAAATGTTTATTGATAGAATAACTACAGTAATCACACATTCACATATACGGTCTGTGTTTCCTATGCCAACACATTGTGTTAGTGCTTAACGCTTTCTCTTTGATTAACACACAAAACAGCCTTATTCCAAGAATAAATACTGGAGGGTCTATAAGCATGTCTTTCTTGTCTTGAAGAATCTTTTTTTTTTTTCTAAAGAATTACTTATTTATTTGAAAGTCAGAGTTACACAGAGAGAGGACAGGCAGAAAGAGAGAGAAAGAGAGAGAAAGAGAGAGAGAGAGAGAGATCTTCCTTCTGATGGTAGACTCCCCAATTGCCCGTAATGGCCAGAGCTGCTCCGATCCAAATCCAGGAGCCAGGAGCTTCTTCCGGGTCTTCCACGTGGGTGCAGGGGCCCAAGGACTTGGACAATCTTTTAATGCTTTCCCAAGCCATAGCAGAGAGCTGGATCAGAAGTGGAGCAGCCAGGTCTCCAACTTGTGCCCATATGGGATGCTGGCGCTTCAGATCAGGGCGTTAACCTGCTGCACCACAGCAGAGGCCCTGTCCTGAAGAATCTTAAAACACAATAAAACCATATTTGGTCCCCGTTCTCCAGTGGACAAACCAGCTAGAGCTGAGTAGCAGAAGTTCTGAGATGGGAGCTGCCACTCATGTTTATATTATCTTTCCAACAGCAGAGCAACATTCCTGTACAAACGTCTCAAGCAAAATTTGGAAAACAAAATATTCACCATGAAAACTATACCTTTTAGAATAATAAAAGACAATTTAATTTCCTTTGGGTAAATTCCAAGGAGTAGGATGGCTGGGTTCTATGGTAGGGTTATATTCAGGTTTCTGAGGAATCTCCAGACTGTCTTCCACAGTGGCTTTACCAGTTTCCATTCCCACCAACAGTGGGTTAGTGTCCCTTTTTCTCCACATCCTCACCAGCATCTGTTGTTGGTAGATTTCTGTATGTGAGCCATTCTAACCGGGGTGAGGTGAAACCTCATTGTGGTTTTGATTTGCATTTCCCTGATGGCTAGTGATCCTGAACATTTTTTCATGTGTCTGTGGCCATTTGGATTTCCTCTTTTGAAAAATGTCTATTGAGGTCCTTGGCCCATCTCTTAAGTGGGTTGTTCGTTTTGATGTTGTGCAGTTTCTTGATTTCTTTGTAGATTCTGGTTATTAACCCTTGATAGGTTGCATAGATTGCAATTATTTTTTCCCATTCTGTCGGTTGCCTCTTCACTTTCCTGACTGTTTCTTTTGCAGTACAGAAACTTCTCAATTTGATGTAATCCCAGTTGTTAATTTTGCCTTTGAGTGTCTGTGCTTCCAGGGTCTTTTCCCATTCAATAGAATGCTGTCTGAAGGTTTTTCATAAATTGTTTTGATTGTATTGAGGAATGTTCCTTCTATACCCAATTTGCTTAGAGTTTTCATCATGAAAGGGTGTTGAATTTTAGCGAATGCTTTCTCTGCATCTATTGGGATAATCATATGGTTTTTCTTCTGCAGTCTATTAATGTGGTGTATCATATTGATTGATTTGTGAACATTGAACCATCCCTGAATACCAGGGATAAATCCCACCTGGTCTGGCTGGATGATCTTTCTGATGTGTTGCTGCATTCTATTGGCCAGAATTTTATTGAGGACTTTTGCGTCTATGTTCATCAGGGATATTGGTCTGTAATTTTCTTTCCTTCCTTCCTTTTTTTTTGACAGGCAGAGTGGACAGTGAGAGAGAGAGAGAGACAGAGAGAAAGGTCTTCCTTTTGCCGTTGGTTCACCCTCCAATGGCCGCCGCGGCTGGTGCACTGCAGCTGGCGCACCGCGCTGATCCGATGGCAGGAGCCAGGTACTTATCCTGGTCTCCCATGGGGTGCAGGGCCTAAGCATTTGGGCCATCCTCCACTGCACTCCCTGACCACAGCAGAGAGCTGGCCTGGAAGAGGGGCAACCGGGACAGAATCCGGTGCCCCAACTGGGACTAGAACCCGGTGTGCCAGTGCCTCAAGGCGGAGGATTAGCCTAGTGATCCACGGCGCCAGCCTGTAAATTTCTTTCAATGCTGCATCTTTTTCAGGCTTAGGGATTAAGGTGATGCTGGCTTCATAGAAAGAATTTGGGAGGATTCCTCTTTTTCGATTGTTCTGAATAGTTTGAGGAGAATTGCAGTTAGTTCTTCTTTGAATGTCTGGTAGAATTCAGCAGTGAATCCATCCGGTCCTGGGCTTTTCTTTGTTGGGAGGGCCTTTATTACTGCTTCAATTTCTGACTTGGTTATGGGTCTGTTTAGGTTTTCTATGTCTTCCTGGTTCAATTTAGGTAGATTGTATGTGTCTGGGGTTCTATCCATTTCTGATAGATTTCCCAGTTTGTTGGCATAGAACTCTTTGTAGTAATTTCTGGTGACTCTTTTTATTTCTGTGGTGTCTGTCATTACATTCCCTTTTTCATCTCTGATTTTACTGATTTGGGTCTTCTCTCTCCTTTTTTTGTTTAGTTGGGCCAATTGTGTGTCAATTTTGTTTATTTTTTCAAAAAACCAGCTCCTCGTTTGGCTGATTTTTTGTAATGTTATTTGAATTCAATTCTGTTGATTTCTTCTCTAATTTTAATTATTTCTCTTCTCCTACTATATTTGGGCTTGGTTTGCTGTATTTTTTCTAGATCCTTGAGATGCATTGATAGCTCATTTATTTGGTGCCTTTCCAATTTCTTGGTGTAGGCACCTATTGATATAAACTTTCCTCTTAACACTGCTTTTGCTGTATCCCATAAGTTTTGATATGTTGTTGTTATCCTGATTTACTTCCAGAACGTTTTTGATTTCTTCTATGACCCAGTGTTCATTCAGGAGCATGTTGTCCAGTCTCCATGTGTTTGCATATGCTCTAGGCATTCTTGAGTTGCTAATTTCCAACATTATTCCACTGTGGTCTGAGAAGCTGAATGGTATGACTCCAATTCTTTTGAATTTGCTAAGACTTGCTTTATGGCCTAGTATATGGTTAATCCTAGAGTAGGATCCATGTACTGCTGAGAAGAATGTAAATTCTTCAAGTGTAGGATGAAAAGTTCTGTAGATCCATTTGGGCTATAGTGTCGATTAAATCTACTGTATCCTTGTTGATCTTCTGTCTGTTTGATTTTTATAACCTATTTGGGTGCCTTGGATATTTTTTGGCAGGGCATTCACAGTTGCCCACACCAATGCATAATTTGATTGACTCATTTTCATTCAAAATTGTTTCTTTGGAAATATCATTTGGCAGTGAATAATCTGGCCAATTTTCTTACTGAGCTCAGTTTCCAGAAATGAAAGCAATGGCCTCAACTACAATTTCAATATTCTAAGAGTTAAACACTGGATTCCAAAATAGCTTTCTGCATTTTAAATTTTATGACAACAAGGGGACTTTATTCAGTTCACTTCAGTTAGTCTTATAGTATTAATGTAGCACTAAGAATGTAAGGCACTGCACTGCAATACAGGGCAAGACTGCAGGGCGGCAGGACAGAGACTGCACTCACTGCATGCGGGCACGTTATGAGTATGCAAAGATAGTCAATCATCTATTTGCCCAGTTTGACATACAAATCTGACATAAAAAAGTTTGGGAATCAAGACATTATTCTACTATAAAGGAAATAACATTTTAAAAATCGGCAAATTTTTCTACTGTTCAAATTTCTTACATTTTGAACAACTGTCTTCCATTACAAAATAAACAAAATAAATAGTGCTTCTACTTACAAGACCTAATGGTAACATTTCTGCGCTTATCCCATTATTTATTTATTTATTTTACAGAGAGTTAGTGAGAGAGAGAGACAGAGAGAAAGGTCTTCCTTCTGTTGGTTCACTCCCAAAATGGCAACTAAGGCTGGAGCTATGCCGATCCAAAGCCAGGAGTCAGGTGATTCCTCCTGGTCTCCATGTGGGTGCAGGTGCCCAAGCACTTGGGCCATCCTCTACTGCCCTCGCAGGCCACAGCAGAGAGCTGGACTAGAAGAGGAGCAACCGGGACTAGAACCTGGTGCCCATATGCGATGCTGGTGCCGCAGGCGGAGGATTAACCATGTGAGCCACAGCGCCGGCCCCCTTATCCCATTATTAAATACACATCCCGTCATGGACATCTTTTAGAGTTTTAACTCAAAATCAAAGGAGTAACAAATTACAGAGGTAAAGTTTTATAACTGAATACTGCTATTTCTTTTTTTTTTTTTTTGACAGGCAGAGTGGACAGTGAGAGAGAGAGAGACAGAGAGAAAGGTCTTCCTTTTGCCGTTGGTTCACCCTCCAATGGCCGCTGTGGCCGGCGCGCAGCGGCCGGCGCACCGCGCTGATCCGATGGCAGGAGCCAGGAGCCAGGTGCTTTTCCTGGTCTCCCATGGGGTGCAGGGCCCAAGCACCTGGGCCATCCTCCACTGCACTCCCTGGCCACAGCAGAGGGCTGGCCTGGAAGAGGGGCAACCGGGACAGAATCCGGTGCCCCGACCGGGACTAGAACCTGGTGTGCCGGCGCCGCTAGGCGGAGGATTAGCCTAGTGAGCCGCGGCGCCGGCCTGAATACTGCTATTTCTAAATTCAGAATTCCCAACAGAACATGTAACATTGTAACATGTCAACATGTTTGTGTTTTTACATACTTCAATATATAGACAACACTGGACAGTATCTCTAGAATGCTGTTAAATCTGACCTTCTTGATGTTGAAACTATCTCATCAATAAAGTAACTGGTCCAGAAAGGTTAAGTAACTTGCCTTCAAGTCAGCAAGAACTCACAAATAAGGAATCAAGTAATTGAAAATGGGTCTATGGGCTGGCATTGTGGCTAAGCTCTGCCCACAGCATTGGCATCCCATATGGGTGCCAGTTAGTATCTTGGCTGTTCTTCTTCCAATCCGACTCTCTGCTCACAGCATGGCAAAGCAATAGAAGAGCCCAAGTGTTTGGACCCTTGCATCTGCGTGGGAAACCCAGAAGATAATCCAGGCTCCTGGCTTTGGATCAGCCCAGCTCCAGCCGTAGTGGCCATTTGGGGAGTAAACCAGCTGATGGAAGACCTTTCTGTCTCTCCCTCTGTCTATAAATCTACCTCTCAAATAAATTTTTAATAAAATCTAAAAAGAAAGAAAATAGGTCTATTTTACTCTACCCTCCGAGACTCAAACCAATGCAAACTATAAGACTTAATTTGACCAGGAGAACAAAACTGGAGGGAAAATGAAGCAAATGACTAAATTTTTATGAACCAGATAATTTTTCATGTAATAATATAGCTGCATATCAATGAAAATATAAGGAGAATACTTGAAGTTAAACATTTGGTCAACAGATTTGCAGAATATTGTGACATTTTTTGAACATATGAATTAAAACTTACTCTTGGTGTGGATGACAAGCTCTGAACAACGAACACCACCGGGTTTCCTGCATTCTTAATGGCCTCAACTGCTTCCCCATGTGAAGCATTCTGCAAATCTATGCCGGACACCTGAAACACAGAAATCATTTGTTTCAACCAGAAAGGCACTGGATATTGTGGATAGGTGAGCTCAAGGTTCATGTGTATCATCTAGAACAATCAGACACAAGTCAGACAATAAGATCAGTCCATAAAAAATTTTGCTGCTGGAGGAGAACAAGTTTAAGGAAAATAATGTTTCACTTTGACAAGACAAATACATTAAAGCAATAGCCCCGGTTAAATAAAATTATTCAAAATAATATAAAAATCTTCCCCAAAAAGTAACAGGTAGTTCAGTCAGCATAAGTGGTGGGGGAGACTCTTTGGATGCTCACCTTCTGTTAAGCTGAGATATTTTAAGCAAACTGCCTATTATTACAATCAAGAAGTTCAACATTTCTCAAATTGTATTTAAAAAGAACTACTGAACACCCACAAGTGTTCTGTGTTTGATAAATTCAGCTAACAGTAAAAGATTCCTTATTATAGAAACTCAGATAAACAAATGTACACTCCAAGAGGGTACTCTGTGTTTACCAATCATATTTGAAGGAACCAGCTTTTCAAACTTGTAATGCAGCAAAGCTGGATATGATTGGGATGGTTTATGGTCAATGGAAAGTGAGTGACTGTGCCCATGTGGGCATACTGCTTTGTTATAAAGGGATCAAATAAATAGGAATGCAGATGTTTTCCCAACAGATTTCTACAGTGTTAAGTGGAAATCATTGACACAGAGTAGTTAGGGGAAAGAAGGAATTCTGTCTATTACGATACAAAAACAATCTTAGTTCTTCTCAGCTTCAGAATTATAACCCAAGTGGTACTCATCCATTCACACAGAAGAAGACCCATATCTAACATAATGAATTAATTCTAACTTGCTCATTTAAAAAATTCTTTACATGTATCTAAATCCTTCAAGTTAATGTTTCAAGATTTTTTTTATAACATATAGTCAGAAAAAAACCTGATTATTAGGTTTTACTTAACACAAGAAACAAAAACTTCATAATACTTCTCATTGAAAAACAGCAAACAAATGGTACATTATATTATGCAATATATAGTAAAATGCAACATTTCAAGTCTGATGTAAGTTTGGACAAATACAAATGACTAAAATCTGAAATAATCTTGTTAGTGCAAGGATACTTGAAAAAGTTCATGGAACAATGGAATTAAAGGTAAGTTACTTTGGTACAAACAATTTGTATGTGTAATGCATGCATACTTTGTTGTAATAGTCATTTTCCATTTACTTTCTGCTCCTGAATGAACACTGGGTCATAGAAGAAATCAAAAGAGGGCCAGCGCCGCAGCTCAATAGGCTAATCCTCCACCTAGCAGCGCCAGCACACCGGGTTCTAGTCCTGGTCGAAGCGCTGGATTCTGTCCCGGTCGCCCCCCTTCCAGGCCAGCTCTCTGCTATGGCCCAGGAGTGCAGTGGAGGATGGCCCAAGTGCTTGGGCCCTGCACCCCATGGGAGACCAGGAGAAGCACCTGGCTCCTGGCTTCGGATCAGCGCGGTGCGCCAGCCACAGCGCGCCGACCAGGGCGGCCATTGGAGGGTGAACCAACAGAAAAAGGAAGACCTTTCTCTCTGTCTCTCTCTCTCTCTCACTGTCCACTATGCCTGTCAAAAACAAACAAACAAACAAACAAACAAACAAAAAAAGAAATCAAAAGAGAAATCAAAAACTTTCTGGAAGTAAATCAGGATAACAACATAACATATCAAAACTTATGGGATACAGCAAAAGCAGTGTTAAGAGGAAAGTTTATAGCAATAGGTGCCTACATCAAGAAATTGGAAAGGCACCAAATAAATGAGCTTTCAATGCATCTCAAGGATCTAGAAAAACTGCAGCAAACCAGACCCAAATCTAGTAGGAGAGAATCCACCATTAAAATTAGAGAAGAAATCAATAGGATTGAAAAAAAAATTACAAAAAATCAGCCAAACGAGGAACTGGTTTTTTTGAAAAAATAAACAAAATTGACACACCATTGGCCCAACTAACTGAAAAAAAGAAAAATACCCAAATAAATAAAAATAGAGATGAAAAAGAAAACGCAACAACAGACACCACAGAAATAAAAAAAAATCATCAGATTACTACAAACTATACTGTTTGTATGCATTACATACGAACTATACTGTTTACATGCCAGCAAACAGGGAAATCTATCAGAAACGGGTAGATGCCTGGACACATGAAACCTACCTAAATTGAACCAGGAAGACATAGAAAACCTAAACAGACCCATAACCAAGTCAGAAATTGAAGCAGTAATAAAGGCCCTCCCAACAAAGAAAAGCCCAGGACCAGATGGATTCACTGCTGAATTCTACCAGACATTCAAAGAACTAACTGCAATTCTCCTCAAACTATTCAGAACAATCGAAAAAGAGGAATCCTCCCAAATTCTTTCTATGAAGCCAGCATCACCTTAATCCCTAAGCCTGAAAAAGATGCAGCATTGAAAGAAAATTACAGACCAACATCCCAATGAACATAGACGCAAAAATCCTCAATAAAATTCTCACCAATAGAATACAACAACACATCAGAAAGATCATCCAGCCAGACCCTGTGGGATTTATCCCGGGTATTCAGGGATGGTTCAATGTTCACAAATCAATCAATGTGATACAGACACATTAACAGACTGCAGAAGAAAAACCATATGATTATCCCAATAGATGCAGAGAAAGCATTCGCTAAAATTCAACACCCTTTCATGATGAAAACTCTAAGCAAATTGGGTATAGAAGGAACATTCCTCAATACAATCAAAGCAATTTATGAAAAACCTACAGACAGCATCCTACTGAATGGAGAAAAGTTGGAAGCATTTCCACTGAGATCTGGTACCAGACAGGGATGCCCACTCTGACCACTGCTATTCAATATAGTTCTGGAAGTTTTAGCCAAAGCCATCAGGCAAGAAAAAGAAATGAAAGGGATACAAATTGGGAAGTAAGAAGTCAAACTATCCCTCTTTGCAGATGATATGATTCTTTATTTAGGGGATCCAAAGAACTCTACTAAGAGATTATTGGAACTCATAGAAGAGTTTGGCAAAGTAGCAGGATATAAAATCAATGCACAAAAATCAACAGCCTTTGTATACACAGGTAATGCCATGGCTGAGAAAGAACTTCTGAGTTCAATCCCATTCACAATAGCTACAAAAACCATCAAATACCTTGGAATAAACTTAACCAAGCATGTTAAAGTTCTCGATGATGAGAATTACAAAACCTTAAAGAAAGAAATAGAAGGGGATACCAAAAAAATGGAAAAATCTTCCATGCTCATGGATTGGAAGAATCAACATCATCAAAATGTCCATTCTCCCCAAAGCAATTTATACATTCAATGCAATACCAATCAAAATGCCAAAGACATTCTTTTCAGATCTGGAAAAAATGATGCTGAAATTCATATGGAGGCACAGGAGACCTCGAATAGCTAAAGCAATCTTGAACAACAAAAACAAAGCCGGAGGCATCACAATACCAGATTTCAGGACATACTACAGGGCAATTACAATCAAAACAGCATGGTACTGGTACAGAAACAGATGGATAGACCAACAGAACAGAATAGAAACACCAGAAATCAATCCAAACATCTACAGCCAACTTATATTTGATCAAGGATCCAAAACCAATTCCTGGAGCAAGGACAGTCTATTCAATAAATGGTGCTGGGAAAACTGGATTTCCACGTGCAGAAGTGTGAAGCAAGACCCTTACCTTACACCTTACACAAAAATCCACTCAAGATGTATTAAATATCTAAACCTATGACCCGACACCATCAAATTATTAGAGAACATTGGAGAAACCCTGCAAGACACAGGCACAGGCAAAGACTTCTTGGAAAAGACCCCAGAGGCACAGGCAGTAAAAGCCAAAATTAACTATTGGGATTGCATCAAATTGAGAAGTTTCTGTACTGCAAAAGAAACAGTCAGGAAAGTGAAGAGGCAACCGACAGAATTGGAAAACATATTTGCAAACTATGCTACAGATAAAGGATTAATAACCAGAATCTACAATGAGCCTAACTCAGATCTTTACTTTGACCTGGGATGACCTATACATTCTTCTGTCCACAAGAAAAACAGCAAACCTTCCTGGAGGCTCAACAGCCCAAGTACATACTGTGGGAGCCAGAATGTCATAACAGATCCTAATTAGAACTATCAAAGAGGTCATGAGGATTAAGGGCACCAAGACCATAAAGTTATGTGCTTGGTGGGTACAATGAAAAAAATGTATTGTTAAATCCATAAATTTTGACAAAAACAGGGAAATAACATAAGAGAATCCAGCCTTTTTTTAATGGATGACGGGTAAAGGCCTTAAAATGATCAACTAACACAGACCCCAGCACCCACGAAGGAGAGCTTTTTACTTGGTACCTGTTTCATCAGTGAAATATTCACAAGAAACTCCAGAAACTGGCAATGGGACTCCAAACTTCCATGAAGCAGAAGCTAGATAAGCATTTGGGTAGTTCACAATAGAGACAAGCCGAGCAGGAAAGGCAGCTCCAATACAGGAACAACAGTCCAGACAGACAACAGGCTCATAAGATAGCAGTCAGTGTAACCAGTGCTTTGTGACCTCCAGGTCAACCCATAGTGTGGCTAACCATGGTTGAAAAGCCCAAGAGACAATGTTTAAGGTTTGGGAAGATGAGACACTGGCACAAAGAAGGAAGTCCCAACTTGAAAAGCAGGATGGAAACAAGAAGTACATGGGGAATGGCAACCCCTGCAGCCCCGAAGGGAGGGACAGTCTCCCAGTTTTCTCATGTCTTCATTCAAAGACTAAAAGGGCCGGAGAACTCAGGCAGCTTCCATAACCCATATGACCATCACACTCCTGGAGTCCTGGGTGACCCTGGATGTCACAGGTAAGAGCATCAATTTTCTGACTGATATGGGAGTCCCTTCTTCTGTTTGGAATTCTCATGCAAGATCCCCACCCTCAAAGAACCATGTCATCA